CTGCATTATTATTATTTATAGCCAATGCAGCCTGTCATTATGGGTGCTTTTCGTTTGCTGAAATTATGCCTTCACTAAGCGAATTGAATGTTTATTGACTTAAAAAGGAGCTTAGCGCTCGATGTTAGAGCACGGCAGTGTGTTAACAGTGTATTTGTTTGCAATCTGCTGACACCAATGCATTTCAGCTTGGCGCCCCACCGCCACCACGATTGACTCACAGATGAACGTCCACAGCAGCTGTGCGAACTGAAACATTCACGATGGCTTGGCTGCAGATGGGTGGGGCAGTAAGGAACGTGGCTCAGGTGAGTCAGTAAGGTTCCAGGCTGCGTTACAGTACCCTACAATGTTCTTCGCCAAAGGCAGTCTCGTCCATTGGCAGACACAACAACAAAATGCAACCGGCTTGGCTTGTCCTCGTTTGAAGGTGTGGATGAAGCAATGAGTCGTTTATTGACCAAGTGTCGAATGAATCACTGTTCACGGCAGGTGTATGATAGAACATGAAACCTGGGCACAGTGAAATAATAATATATCATTGGAGATGTCGGGCCTAAATGTTTTGGATGACAAAGACTTTTTTTTTAAAGTCTTCCAAATTGCAAACGTGTCTTTTAGTTTAGTTTTCACTAAATATGCTCAATGGAGAGCCCCATGGCTGTGTGGAGAGAGCAAAGTTCAAATCCATAAACAAATCCAGGGTTAAAAGCACTGGGTTTGTTTATGGTTTAACTGCCTCAGCCTTTAAATGTCTCTGTTAAAGGCTTCAGTGTTAACCGTCTCGGGCTGAAATCCAATCACTGTACAAGTCAATGAGTGTTTTGTCTGTGTGCAATAACACGTTAAAGCGGTCAGTATTATTGCCACCTGTTAATTTATTAAGGACGTTAGTTGCATTATAACGCCCACTGAAATGTATCTGTTTAAACCAGCAATAGCTCTCTCCCGACCGCTGCCTCTAACACTTACCGGTAACCATACGGCACCTGACCCAGTAAGGCCAGTAGTCGATCTCAATGCACACAAAAAATCCACACCTATTGGGGGGTGGGTGGGGGGTGGCGTTCGTATACACGTCACGTGCACCGTGCACTGCACACGCGTTCTCCACGCACGATGTTGGGGGGAATACGCCGGACCGGTGTTGTGTTGCACTCGAGTGCCAAGCACACATTGCGGCGTTCTCTAAAGCCACTGATGAATGAATGAATGCCTCCCCGCACACTCTGAGTTTTCGTAACGGGCGTTATTTGATCAGACTTCCCCCAAAACACGGTGACGGCAGGAAGCGTACAAGTCCGATGGGACAATATATTAAGACTTGCCGTACATAGCCTCTGCTGGACAAAACATGCGATAAGGGGGCCGTCCATAAATGACGTCACGCACCTAGGGTGGTGGGGAGGAGGGGGTCAGATATTTGTGACGATGTGTGACGAAGGGGGGGGGGGGCGGTTTGAGAAATGTGACGTCATATCACAATTCGCAACTTTAAATAAATATAGACAACACGTTCTACTTAAGTAGACTTTTTTTTATAAATGTTTTCTCCTACAACAGAGTGCAGCGCCACATTAAATACGCACTACGATGCCAATAGTTTAAAGCGATTTGAAGCATGTGGTTTTTTTGGGGGGGCAGAGCTTTGTGACGTCATATTTGAGGGGGGGTCTGACTTTTTGTGACGCCGCGTGACGTCATTTATGGACCGCCCCGAACACAATCGAGATGTACGATATTGCACATGGTTTGTATGCACGTGTCGATGTACGTATACTGCACAGATTATGTTTGGGTTACATTTTATGCAAGTGTGTCGTCGTGTTAACACGTTAAATTGAATTTACAATGCCTTAAATTCATTTGCAGAAGTCCACAAAAAACACCCAATGAAAATTGGGTGTATTTAATTACTTACAGCATCACAACTAGCCTTTGTGAGAACACGTCATTATTACACTCTTAAAAAACTCCAGTCATTCAAATCCTAATGACTCATTTACACATCAGAGATGTTTGACATCTGCTACAAAACTGGCCACTTCTGACAATGCCACAAACAATGCACCTCACCCACCCTAAATTCGACATAAGTCGTGGTGCATGAACAAAATCCAAACCCATCCCTTTGCAGAATAATTAGGATAACTTTTGGCTCTCAACCATACTCGTTCCCAAGGGTCCAGTAAAAAAAAACACGCAGACAATACTGTTTATTCTTACCGATCTGTTACAGTATTTTTGTCATATATTTAGTCACGTGGATGACCATGCCCCATTATTAGTGAAGTAGACGAACCTGCTGTACTGCATTGGAATGAGCCTTAAACTCACAATTCGCACGTAAATTTTCGAATTCTCCACTCAAACACGGAACTGCAAGTGGTTGTACAGAACTTCAGTAATCTATGAGAAAATAAATAACAATCACGAATAATGAAAACATATCTTACAGCTCGTTTTAACCCACTGCTCAAGAATGAAGGGCGTGCCGATGCCGTAATCAGTCACGGAGGGGTTTTTTTCACCACACTTCCTTCACCACGCTGGCGAGCGTCGGTTCGTGAAGGTGCGATGGAACCAGGTCTGGTCCAGTTGTCACTGGCCACTGCTATTCGCCGTGCCCGGGAATCTAACTCAGGTCCCCGGACTCGTAGGTCCGTATGCTAACCACCGCATGGCACCGCTTCACCAAGCAACACAAAACGTGATATTTATTGTAGATACATACCGAAACACTGTATAGTGAAATTCATATTCTCCACGTTTATACGGGGGGGGGGGGGGGGGGGGGTGTGCTCCAAGCAGATCCCATTATCCACAGCTCTACCCAAAAACTATCTCCTGCCAGATGCAACATGGCTAAAACAATGCATTTGCCACTAGCTCTGGGTCACTCCTCTTATCTGTGAAAGAAAAAAATGCAAATAGAGAAAATCCAGTGCTTCCAGATCACCACTTGTTGGAAAAGATGAATTTTCTGCCCTTTGGGGGGGGGGGGACTCATCTGTGGAACGCATGCACAGTAATATAAAGAGTCCATCCATGTGTAGTGACATCGGGGATGTCACTGCATGGTGCCGGCCATGGCGTGCGATGTTCCTACGTCACAGACAGCGCCGTGTGGGTTGCTGTGTGAGGCCGGCTCTAGCACAGCACGGCGTGCGATGCACCGTCATCGCGTACACCCCGTAGGTGGGTGTAGTACCAGCCCTAGCGGGGCTTGGTGAGCGCTGGGATAGCGCGGGCACCACGCACAGCGGGCTCCCACGAGGGGGAGTGGGAGAGTGTCAGCCCAGGGGCAGGGTTGCCCCGGGCCATGGCACTCTGGTTGACCCCGTAGACACGTGATCTAGAGTGTCTATAGAGAAGGCCCCAGGTGGGGGGGGGGGGCTAGGGGGTGATCACGTGTCCAGGCAGAGCTCTCGAGAGGGATTGAGAGGGAGCTAGAACGCTCGAGAAGGCGGGCGGGGCCGCGGGTGGAGCCGGCCCCGACCCGGGAGGATATAAGGTGGGTCCCTGAGAGGGATCGGGGTCGCTTTGTTCTACAAGCTGGAAGCTCTACGTCCTACAAGCTGGAAGCTCCACGTCTACAAGCTGGAAGCTCTACGTCCTACAAGCTGGAAGCTCCACGTCCTATAAGCTGGAAGCTCTTCGTTCTACAAGCTGGAAGCTCTACGTCTACAAGCTGGAAGCTCTTCATTCTACAAGCTGGAAGCTCCACGTCTACAAGCTGGAAGCTCTACGTCTACAAGCTGGAAGCTCTACGTCCTACGAGGCATCAACACGTGGCTGGGGACCCAAGTGAGGGTCCAACCCTTCGTAGTTGTAACTCCTACGTATAGTGTAGTTAGCTGGGTGGTCACCACCCTAGGCTGTATCTGGTAAAGGGGCAGTTACCCCTTTGTATATACGTGTTACAATAAATGTGTTGCCTCTAAAGAATAACGTCTGCGACTCAGTTGGCCTCACTACACATGGATAATAGTATTTGCTGCGGACTGAAAAAGCCACAGATAATAGGAGTCATGCTTAATAGGGCTATGGATATGAGAAACTTCATTCAATTAACTTGACGTTTACCTACAGACTCTGAATCCACCTACCCTAAGAATAAATTAGAATGTGTTTTCTTAGAATATCTATATGACATAAATGTGTATTTGAGTATTATTAGGATTCTTGCTTGCCCAATTCACTTGAAGACGTAGTAAATGCCGTATGTTACATCCTAAGACACATAACCAGATCTATGTCTTAATCAATGGGTTAACCAGAAGCACACATTTTTTTTTATATGGGCACATAAGGAAGTGGTTTAATCTCCCAACTCAGCCAAGTCGTACCCTCAAGAGGAGGGCAGAAAAATCACTTCCAGGATGTCCTCAAGGCCAATATTAAGCATTACAATATAAACACCAGCTCGTGGAAGACTATTGCCCAGGATCGTCCCAGATGAAGGAAGAATCTGCTGCAAGGATCTAAGCATTTCGGAACCCGACGACGACGAGAACAAGAGGGGGGGAAAGCGAGAGCGGCAGACACACAGGGGTCACACATCCCACACAGACCCATAGATAAGACAATGGTGAAAGACAATCATCCTCGACTGCAAAGGATTGCCGAAGAAGAATAAAAAGATACGGTAGTGGTGAGCAACCCCAGTAATCTGGGGTTTAATTCCTGGCCGTGAGCATTGCAAGTGGCAAAATCATATCGGAACTTTGTCTGAGTGTTCAACAAATCCCGTGTGTTTATTATGAGTGCTGCGATGACAGAGGGCACTCAGCCGTCCATGGGTCTGGCCACACCTCAAACCCTCATGTGCCAAAATCGGCTCTAATTGGAGCTGTAGGCTACCAAACAGCCTACAGAACTAAAACTTTGATCTATGCGTGTTGCGCATTGCACCCATTGCCTGTACTCCGTGTATTTACAAATCCCTCAATGTGTCTTGGAGTGATGTGGCGATGTGGCGATGTAGTGTGAGGCTTTACATCAGTGGGGAAGGTGTGGAAAACTCTGCTGTTGCTGCTGATTCATCCGCCTCCTGCACTGCAACACAGTGGGCAGATGAAAACCAAAGGACAGCTTTTTATCACAAAATCAATACCCTGACAGGATTGTTATAATGCTATTAGCTGCCCACAAACGTCATATTCAACATTATATAATCTGAAAGTGTAAAAAGATCAGGAAAAGACAAAACAATTTTTGATGTAATGCTGAATACCCCCAGCAATTGGATGAATTGTCACAATTCGTGGTCATAAATTTATCACAGACTGTTTTTTCATTGTGGTCAGTGTAGTATCCATTATACATATATAAATAATGATAACAATAATATAAATGGCAATTATATTCCTAATTTTTAGCCCTTTTTGTGGTCCAAAGCTGTATGAAAGCCTCCGCACACCATATTGGTCATGAGGGTTATTTAACGATACCTCACCACGCTGGCCAATGCAGATTGGTGAACCGGTTCAGATATCACTCCCCACTGATGTTAACTGTGGCCACAATTCAACTGGCGTATTAATAGCACAGTGAACTGACCACTGCGCCACCACTCCGCCTCCTTCCCCACTGTATATGCGAACCGAAAAACATTGATTCTTCACATGCGATTTGGTACCATATCGTGCACTTAAAATGTTGAACGAATAAGTAAATCATTGTATCACTGCCAAACCTGCTCGCAGTGTGAGATTGTGTGTATCTTTGAATCCTGAGAATAAAGGGGGGGTAGTCGGCAGTGGTAGAGTCCCCCCCAGATCACACGACTCTGTAGTCTACCGGCCGGATGCTTGACAAAAGTAAAAGCATGCATAGCTATTGTATGTTACTTGAATATGCATTACCTGGGAAACATTTTAAAGTGGTCATACTATTCAAGGGGGTAGTGCCCTGGCTCAAAAGTTTAAGAGGGCACCTGCCCAGGTTTGAGTGTACGCTCTGCCATCAGTGTGTGGCATATACCAAACTAACGTTTATCGTAAATGTTAGTCACTTTACAGTGTGGTTTGGACAGTTTTAAAGCTCATGGACGACTGAAGGAAATGCTCGTCCTTATTGGAAGTTCAGAACTAAAGATGGAATTCCATGTTCAACTGGTATTGTCCAGTTGTTCCACAGGCCAACGCTTGTTAAATTCCCATTAAATATTGCCCATATGTGGTATTTGCTCTATGCCGGCTGTTATTTGGGGGGGGAATAGTGGAAAAATAAGCATAGCATAGCACAGTATTGCATAAAAAATATCTTCATATGTTAACACTCAAGAAGTGTGCTATATTGTTAGTAATTAACCACGTAATGTTTATTACTATGGTTGTGTCACCGGACACTCATAGCAAATATAGTCAGTCTACATTTCTTTCTTTGTTACCACTTTGAAACACACAATTAAAAAAAAAATCATAAAATATATAATGCGAAGGCTGGTTCTCGATGTGTAATGTGCTTATCGATCGAACGGGACTTGAAGAGAACGTTTGCACATGCCACCGACTGGCTCTTGTGGGAAAATGTACGCCTCCCAGTTAGCTCATTCAATTAATCTAAATGTCGTTTAAGTCACATAGTCACCTTCTTGTAGCAATAAAACTGGCTAGGTAGTAAAACATGAAAATCCAACGAAGTACAGACACCCAGTCCTATGAGACCCGAGCAAAGGCAATACCATGCTTATTATTTGAATCACGATTCTTGAGTAAAGCGATATAATTTTCAATAATGTTTTAAAATAGTATTAAATCGATTGAACAAATGGCAACTATGTATATATCTTTGCATGGAGGCCATGAGCCTTGAGGTAATGGTTTTAAGACTTTAAATTTAAGTAAAAAATACTAAAATACCCTTGGCTAATAATAGGGTTTCCCCCTTTTTTCTGGCAACAAAACTGAAACCTTTTTACAAGGAATCATGCGTGCATTAACCACAATACTTATGGTCAAAATGCAAAACAAAAAAACATACTCTGATAATATATATGCATAGCGCACACATGATTCCTTGTAAAAAGGTTTCAGTTTTGTTGCCAGAAAAAAGGGGGAAAACCCTATTATTATATTTTGGTACTGGCAAAGGAGGCCGAATGATGATACCCTTAGCTACTCAAGAGACCATATCAGTAGTCTACGTGACATCTCAATTTGTCTCTCCCCATCTCTGTATCTCTGCATCTCCCTTTATCTGCAACCCCACCCCCCCCCCTTTTTTCTCTCCGTATCACCATCTCTCTCTTTATCTACATCTCTATATATCTTGTGAGACAGAGAGAAAGGTAAGTATGAAGTACTTCCAACATGAATTGTAGGTGGCAATTTTCATTAAAATGGTGTGCCACAGCACATTGTAACATGTGAAAAAAGGTGACATCAAAGATGTACAATTACATACTACAGTATATCACATTTTTATTGTAAAATCTGTAGGCCTGTCATATTTTTGACAGGTCGAGAAAAGTGCCTATTTATTTCACTTTACCTCTAAAATTCTTTGATGATATTGCAATAAAATTGTCATGTCCATAAATGTGTTTCTATACAAGTTTCGATTAAAAACAGGAAAAACAAATGTTTTTTTAAAGCACACAAAGAATCCATTACCAATTTAACAGGCACATACTTGGCTTTAAAACCTACATAATGCTTCATCTTCTTTGGTTCTTTCGGTAAAGTCACGTAGAATGAGAATAAAATAATAAATTGATAAAATAAAATAACACAATAATATTCTCACGACGTTTCGGCCACAACACAAGCGGCCTTCATCAGGTGAAGGGACGAGACTGTCTGGTAGGACAGCGCTGGAGTGAAAGAGCCACGTTCATTCTATAGATTCTATAGATAATGCTATAATGCTATCTATAGAATGTGGGGCATAGAATGGAATTCTGAGGTCACGGAATTCCGTACAAGGCACAGCAGCTGTGTTTACGTGACGAGTCCCTCATTCTCACAGTTTTAAAATACTTTACAAAAACCTATCAAGAAATTAACAAAGATACGCAATATAATAATACAGAAATGAAACTGATATGATGGTTATCAAGCCCATATTACATCTAAATGAGAAACATTAATGTTTTTTTAGTTTACGAGATTACCATATTGAATTACGCTCAGAAACCGCTCTGTCGCAATTCAATGAGCTGTATTCGTAGTTTAAAAGGTATTGCATGATGACAGTGCTCTTTAACTGCATAATTAACAGTGTCCTCTCATTCAAATGCGTGTTTATGCTCCTGTCACAACTTGTTTCCAGCTTGAGACGCTATGATTATATCAATTAGCTCACATCTCAAGCATTTTCAAGCTTCATTTAACAATTTAACTAAGACAAGAAGATGCTTAGTGCTGTCAACTTACTGGAAAACAATTCAAATGGGTATAACCATGTCACCCTGGTCATGTGTGCAAAACACATGAACAACACATGAGCAACAATGCTATTTCCACGTTGATGGCAATATGTTTAGAAATTAATTGAATGTGTTTTAGGCCATTCATTTTGTTGAATTTACTCTGACACAGTCTAGCACAATACATGTGGATTCATATAATGTTGCACATGGAATATAAATAGCTACTGATATGATGGTTGTATTATTGGTCCTATGCCATTAAAGGGTTGATAAGCATATCAGAAGAATGAAAATGACGTTGATAGTCTGGTTAAAACAACGCTGACTAGATATGACAGAGTTGTTTCATAGTTTAATAACGAGATGGTGTTATGTGCATTGTCGTTAAGGACACCATTGCCAAGTTATTATTTTAACATAACATTTTTGGAATAGGTGCAAATGTCTATGTAATGTGCATATGATGTATATGCAGCTTTTGCTATGCATGAACAAATTCACGACACCAATTTCAATTAAGTTGCATAATACTAACTTTCTAATTATTGTAATGACACAATTCATGTTCGTACAGCTCACAGTAAAGTATACATGTTCACCAATACAATCATCCTTTGGAAATGCAAGACGCGTACAGTAGTAATGATGCCGATATATGCCAAGATGTTAGTGACTGAGTGGAAAGCCTGATTTCGCAAATTAAATGTAATTGAGCTCACCTGGTGAATGTAAACATCCCCAATTGGCCCAGCTTTGGAATGATTCCATGAACTCCCAAAGTCCCACAGCTACTTGGGAAGTGTCCTGTGGTATCCAGCGAGTGCATTTGGGGTTCCCGCCTCTCAAATACAAAAACGGGGACATATCATGGGAATGATAATAATAATAATATCTCACACGACCAGATGTGGAGAGCACTACATGTAAATGCATCGTCCTTGAGTGGTGTATTAATTATTACACTACTGACAAAAACTGGACCTGTTAATGTCCCGGGACAAACTTATGAGATTTCCAGGTACAACTACCTCACAAAGAGGACATCCTGAGAAAATCAGGACAGGTTGTAGCAACCTGCATGTGTGAACCTACAATGCCAAATCTCACCACTCTTGCTTGGGAAACAGACTCTAACCCTCAAATAGATTGACTTAAAATTCAAACAGTTATCAGAATACATTTACATATTTATATAAAATAATGGTGAGAGGTAGGGAGTTTGGCTATACTATGCTCAAGCACATTTTACAACGGTTTTTCAATTTAGCAATTAGGGTTATGGCACAGTAGGTTTCCTGATACGCCCACCCCTATTGTAGTTTGTCTTTGATCTCTCGTGGTCTTTGGCTTGGTTGGCAATTTTTGAATGTACTGTCATTTGTAGCATGGTGATGTTCCACTGGTGCTGAAGCTGTCATTACCTCTGCATATTTGATGCGTCCTATTTGTCATGAAAACCAGACCAAAAAGACTCCTCCATTGACTTGATGAATTTAATTGTACCACCTGTTTACCTGCACATATATTACCTTCGCATTGTGCCTCAATTATCAGCTTATTGTTTATATATTTTACTTCATGTAAGCTATGGATAACACATCTAAAAAAAAAAGTTCAATGATATATTTACCAGGTCTCATTCAACTTAGTGAATATAAAATTGCGCTATCCAGTGGATGACTAAGGATATACATTTTTTGCCAAGCTACTGCCAAAATGACTGTGTTAAACATCCATATAATAAATAGGCTCATTATATTTTCCTAAAAACAAAATGTGAATGTTATTTTTAAAGGCTTTTAAAATGGCATTCATGAGACTTTCAGACACCTGCAAATGCAACAGAAACAAAATGAAATGTATATTGTGCATATTACACCACGCACATTACACGTGTAAATAAACAATGAACACTGTAGGATCTAAAGCAATATACAGTTATACATACTGTATACATGAATAACATATTTGCGCGATTTCAGTGGGAGCAAGTTGCCCAAGTCATACTGTATATGGTATTTAAAATGAATGGGGTGGTGTGTTAATGTCTCTAAAGGGACTTGTATAAATGCTAAAATACCCAAGGCAAGAAGGAGTGCTACTTGTAAGAAATGTTATCTGAAACACTAAAACCCCTGGTCTCTGATGTCCTATACGTCACTCAGCACTGCCATCAGAGTCGGGCTGTAAGTGAGATGCAGATTCTCAGTTGTGCATCATGGAAACTATTTTAACGTACGTTTTGTAAACAAGGACATACACATATGTATTAAACTACACTGTAGTACATTAAACGTAATCTCCATGAGTCACGTTCTTTTGTTCTGGAAAAGTTGAGAAACTGCACAATAAAGGCGTATTCTTGTTAATTTCATGCTTATTTACCCAGGAAAGTCTCACTGATGCTCAACACAATTTTTCAGGAGGGTGCTGCAGGTTATCCCAGTAGGGAGCGATGTTGCAACGTGTAATCCCAATCGATTAATTCGCCGGTATTTTTTCAACTTTGGGATGTATTGCCAATGCATTATTTTCAGCTTTGGAAGCATACCCGTGCAAAACGTGGGGAAACGTGCAGACTCCACACAGAAAGGCGCCCGAGTTGGGAATCAAACCCAGGAACTGTCAGGCAAAAGTGTCCCCGATGTGTCATCCGGCCGCCCAAGGCTTAAAACGCCAAAATCACACACGAGAAACAAGTTTTCGCAAAGCAGCTGAAAATAAAAAATAAAACATTCTGAACAGCAACCATGTTCGTTTACGTTCAATGAGACGATGTATTTTGACAAAAATTTTTTACAATATTGTATTGACATTTACGTTCAAACATCCCAGCCCTTACATATCGGCTGTCTGACACCGTCCACCGGTGCCGAATAAAGAAGGTTTACGGTAACATATTTTAGGGAACACTGCAAACTTTACAAAACAATAAATGTTTACATTCTCGACGTGACGTGAGGTGTGTGGTGGGAGTTTCTCCTAACAGCGTCGCTTCGTTGTCCTTTGCTAAGCCACTTTGTCCTCACAATTCACAGATTAAAACACAGCAACAAAATGCGCCACCAAAAATGGCATTTCTGAGCAACATCATTCAATTCCACCGCTTCGCACACCTACAACCGGGAGTTTCTCAAGCACAATTGAAATTAAGCCTCGTGTTGTTTTGTTTTCTCTCATTCACTCAATCACTCTCTCGGAAATGTAAGGTTTTAAAGTGCCGCATGCAACGCGCACGGGCAATGCAATGTCAGAGCCTTAGCCCACCCCGGTGCGTCTGCCTGCAAATAAACGTGGGCAGCGTGCGGTTCGCTTGAATTGCATCGTTGCAGAAATGCTGTCGCGGGGGGGGGGGGGCTTACGAGAGAGACGCAACCCGAGGAGAGGTTTGTGGTCAGACACGGGGGACACGTGAATGCGGGCGAGGATTCTAACGCTCACGGACGCACAACAGAGGGGAAACAGATGGGAAGGGAATGGATGAGAGGGGGTGTTAAAGAAGAAGACGAAGGAGGGAGAGAGAGAGAGATATATCTTTAAAAAAACACTCCACTCACCAACGGTGGCACGCGAGACCAAAGAGCCGGCGAGCAGCACTCCCAACGAAGGTAAGTAAACCCCCGACGGGAGGATGCGAATCTCCACAGGCGACGTCACGTTGGGGCGGAGCACGTGGAGCCCTTGAACAGGAGGCCAAGTCTTAAGGATGGCCACGCGCAGAAGCCACGTGCTGCGAGGCGCAGAAGCGCCACGTGCTGCGAGGCGCACGCAGATCGCACAGACCACAAACCACGCCACCGTTTCTCGCACAATGCTCCTCCGTCCCTTTCGGAATATGAACGATTGAATGAGCAGGTTGTAAGGCGTCCACGCTGGCGACGACGGTCCATTCTGCGTCGTCGTGCCAAAGTCCCAGTTTCATTCAGAGTGTTCTGGTTTTCACAAATATAGCGGATGAATAAACAAGTAAATACTTTTTACATATAATACCAAAGAGAATTGACTGTGGAAGATGTAAACAATTACAATGTTTAGATGTTTGTTTATATCGTACGGTTAGTGGCAAGACATCAATAATATAATTTTTTTTATAACAATACATTTTCCTTTAATTATGTAGATGAATGGCACTATAATAATATCGAATTCTATTGAAAAATATGCAACGGATTAGTCAGTCCTTTTTATCTCAAAACTGATACAAATTCGCTCAGATGGCCAGGTTAATGAATAAAAAAAACTAATTCAAAGTTATATTCTTAGCTCTTTCGGTAAAATCACGTTGATTGAATGTGACTTTACGTGACTTTACCGAAAGAGCTAAGAATATGAATTACTGCAGTCACGAAAGCTTTAAATCAAAATTTAATTCAAAGTTGTCTGTGGCACAGTGACATTGTAATAGCCTCTGTCATGCCCCCCCCCCTCCAGTTAAGGTTCTCATTGGCGGAGTACATTGTTTCCTCGCCAGCGGTGTCTCCTTTCAAGGATGTTCACGATGTGAGTAACAGGACATACAAAGAGTGGATCGTGTCTGGGAATTGGCTCGCGCAGTGTGAGTGCTAATAACAACGGGCTTGTTTACATTTGTATTATGTAAGGCGACGTCCATAAATGACGTCACGCAATTTTGGACGATTTTTGACCCCCCCCCCCTCGTCACAAAGCGTCACAAAAAGTCAGACCCCCCCTCAAATATGACGTCACAAAGCTCTGCCCCCTCCCCACAAAAAATATAAAAATCGCTTTAAACTATTGTCATTGTAGTGCGTATTTAATGTGGCACTGCACTCTGATGTTGTAGGAGAAACATTTATTTTTTAAAAAGTATATTTAATTAAGTAGAACGTGTTGTCTATATTTCTTTAAAGTTGCGCATTTTGATGTGACGTCACATTTCTCAACCCCCCCCTCGTCACACATCGTCATAAATGTCTGACCCCCCCCCCCCAGGTGCGTGACGTCATTTATGGACGGGCCCTTGATTATCCGTGCATGCGTGGATTATCTGGGTTTTTAAGAAACTGCGTTTGTAAAGAAACAATTATTTGTTGTGCCCTGGTTTCATTATTAGTTGCTTCTCACTCATTGAGAACCACTAAGTCGGTGGCAATATGACCACACACACGTGGGCAAGTAAATTAAATCCTTTCGGAAACAATACAAATAACGCATGTTTTATGTCTTTACAACAGCAGCGTAATGAGCCTGGGGGCAAGGGGTGCCTTGCCCCCCTCCCCACCCCTCGTGGCCAAAGCTACGAATTGGGGCCCTCTTGACAATCACCATGAGAGACAAACCAAATGTTAGGGCCCCACCTGACCGATCGCCGCACCCGCTGACCTAATAATTATTGTAGTCACGACGCTACTGCTTCACACCCACTGCATTTACAATCGTCTCTCCTCTCATTTTGCCCATAACTGCACAGCCACTCACCTTCAATTGCAATGCATAAATTTGAGCACATCATCATCATTGCCCAAGACAACGTGCGTCTATTATCGCACGCTCGGTGAATCACTTGTGCCAATGGTGCTCTACGTTATTAAAAAAAATTACCCATAGATCCCATCATGTTGTAAAATTGAATGGTAAATTATAATCTTCCAAGTGAAAGAGGACCCAATTAGTGAATTTTCAATTTAAACCAATGTCTAAATAAACCTATTTTAGTGCAATTATTTGAACCCACAATAAAAAAGTAACAGTCACAAAAGCCGAGGGAAGGAAAGAAAATCCCTTTGCTTTGTAAAAACAACTACATCTAATTAAATTGTGAGCATCAACACAGTTATATTTTTGACTCTAATCACTTAACTTGGTGTTTGCGGTGATTTTTTCACATCTATTACAAACGTTGGGTAAAAAATAAAGTAACTTGAGAATAATATACCTTTGCTTTGCCATACAAAACGAGTAAACGTGCACAAATCAACTATGTATGCAAGACTGAAGTGGTTATCCGGGCACACCAGATTGTGATCTTACTTTTAAAATGTGAATTTGCCTTTGATAAAATACAGATAGTGGGTTGCGCAGGCAAAATCCACGCTTTTGCTGAAGAAAAGCTGAAATAACTCATACTTGCAAGCATCCTTAAGGCCCACCCACATAGACCGGATTTCCCTGACTCGATCACCCCACCCCGCAGTTGGGGCTCAACAACAAATAGGCAGTGATGACGTCAGGCTTGTGAGAACCCATTCGTCACATTTGACTTGTTGGGGAATCACCGTGGCTCCGTTGCTACAATATTAAACATCTCTCTCCTCTGCAGTCACCTTATCCTGACTTTTGACAGCTGCAGTGTTAACGCTGGAGCATAACACAAGGAAAACAAGTCTGATGGATTTTTGCCACCATCACCCCCAGTTACTTCCTTGAATTGGCTAAAAATATAAAACGATGTTTATTGCTGCAAGGTGAACTGTACAAGCCTACAACATACCGTATAATGTAATGCGCGGTCTGCATATTTTGAAAAATGTGATTTGCCATTTCGTTCATGCTTGATATTTTATTTCTATATTTGTACAGCCATTGCAGCAGTAGCAATTTATTTTACTCTACACAGTACATTATACACCTGATTAAAGACCCATATGTTTTCAGTTTCATTCATTAGATGTAGCCCTGTGAGCCATGAGGCTCTTGACTCGGGTGCAACCGCAACAAACAAAACATGAACAAAGAACATCTTAAAGCGACGACGCGCAACAGAAGCATCCGGGGTAAAAAACAGTAAAATTTTCCAGCAAAAAAGCACCGTATATCAACGCTGCGTGCAAAAATCCCAATGGAATGCAAGTCGAACAATAACAACCATGAGACACTTTGGATAAAGTTATCAGGCTAATTCCGTACTTCAACAAACAAACATGGCTTAACCGTACGTTTTCGAATATCACCAAAATAAAGCTATAAAAACAATGTAACAGTGATCAAATTGAACAATAAACGATACACATAACATGTACGACCAAACTTTGCAGCCATAGCTGGCAGCATGAGTCACTCCATAACAGCAAAACTTTTTCAATGCACCTTTAAAGATCAGCACACTATAATCGAAACTCAAGATCATACTTTGCAGCGGACATCCGGAGCGGTGTATTTGATTTCAGGCCACTCTGCATAGCAGTGGCAGCAGTAGGGTGTATGGAGTGTCACTCCATCACATACGGAAAGTTTTCCCTGGCATCCTGGTTTCCTGTTCATAACCAAACCACCGACAATCTACCCCATCTCATCAGATCCCGGAAGCTAAACAGAAAAAAAAACAGGTGACCACCATGCATAAAACACGTGCTGTAGGCTATTCTGATGAGACATTTTCAGCAGTGCAGCAACATCTCTCATTGTACTGCACTATGCTCAAACATATATGCTCACTCCCGTCACCAACCCGAGCTGACCAATATGATCAAATAAATACACCCCATGTCCCAGATAAGAGAGAGGGGCCCTCGTCCAGGAGTAGATTAACAAAAAAATTATTCTGTACATGTATAACAATCATGATAAAGTCGGGTTCCTATTGTGCAATTCGCACATGACCTCAAAGCGCTTTACATAAAGACTAAGTTATGGACAAAGCCTGTAGTAAAAACAGGTGTGTACATATATAATACACTTTATAGTACACCAAATGAAAACAGTTGTTGCCGAAGCTTTCCGCAATAGATAAAATACACCCGAGTGAACAGAAGTTTCTGAGTTCTTGTCGAATCCCAGAAGCTAAGCAGAGTTGGGAATGCAGCTTTTGGCACTCAGCACTTTGGATGGTGACGGGTTTACCAGGTGTTGTAGCATACCTGCCAACCCCTTATCAGTGCCTACCTTATTACAGACCAATTCAGATTGTATTGGTCACCCCGTGCCCTTATAAACCTCAACGTTCATCCTACAAAGTCCCATGAGAAGGGATAAATACAAAACAAATATATATATATATTTTTGCCCGTATTGAAACGGCTGTACGCCATTTGGACCAGAAAACTACATTTCCCTGTACAAGAATACAGGTAAACCGTATGAGTTGACAGGTTTGTTATAGGCGAGGGGCTGCAGCCAAGTAGGTGGTGGCAGTGCTGAGCGTCACTCCATCACATACGGCAGGTTTTCCCTGGCATTCTCGTTTTACTTCCACATGAATACCAACACTCAATAATGGCAGTCACCAAACATCCCAAGGCAGCAGCCTCATAAAAAAATATATAAGCTTGAGGCTTTCCTGGGTAAATCATCAACATTCCTCTTATCATATTTTGGAAATTTTGGGAAAATACTATTTGTCTCTGAGAGGGGTAACATTTGTTTGTATTTACCATGTACTATACTATCCTCAAAAACATTCGAGCATACACATTACATACCATCATGGTATTAGTAAGGTATAAACCATACCTTACAAGTGCAGTATTTAAAAAAAAATGACATGGTATTCCTTTATTTTTATGCTAAAGGATCTTGAACAGTTTCTTGTGCATTATTTGAGACAGTCAATATAAATGGCAATGCTTCTCTACGTGTGCACAATAATGGCAATTACATCGAGGCTACTTTGTCATTTGCCAATCACTTCTGCTGAACAATAACAGCGTTCTTGGAACAGTGGAGAAACATTCGACCCCAGGCGTGCACGAGCAGTAACCAAGTAACAATACATAATGCAGTTGTCAGTGGGGTGTGGCATAATTTTATTTTACGACCAACCGGACCAGAGCCTCCGCATGTGAATGTTTATTGAAGGATGGTGCCGAGGTTGCAGGTGGATTTTATTTAAATACACTTCGAGTGCCCCGTTTTCCAGTAAAGTCGACGTTCGCGATGCAACTCCGTGCACGTGTGGAATGAAAGTAAAGTCACGGGAACATAAGTGATCATTTGTACATTACATGGGC